AAACTAACATGTATATAAAAAATACTCTTAAAGTTCTATCTATACATAATATCTGATATGATAATATACCAATTTTCCCATTCCTGGTTTTGCGCAACTGTGTTGCGCAGCTACTTATTCTTTAGATACTGACGATCCAAAAAGTTGGCAGCAATTAACCATTAGTGGACTCGATCCGATTGCTAATGATTCTAATGCTTTCTCATATATTACTGATGTACAAGATGATCAAGGAAAAGTTTATATTTATGGTGTTATTGATTCATCTAATAGCACAAACAATTTATATATATTAGATTTATTTAAATTAACATTAAGCTTTGGTGCCAGAGTTAATGCCCCACCAATAGATAGTAACTATTCATGTGTTTTGATTAATAACAAAACCATTTTCTATTTCGGTGGCTTTAACATTTCAGAACAATATATTAAAAGTCCGATGACTACGGTAAAAAAGAAAAATGATTATAAGATAAAAGGAATTTTTTTTTTTTTTGTGACTAACAGACAATAAAATTTCAAAAAAAGTTAATTGGTAATTGTAATAGAACGAATTTTATCATTAGGCCATATGAAATAATTTGCCTTAGTCAAATATTCCTTTTATTTATATATTTTCACATATTTAGCATTTATTTATGTGTTTTACTAATTCTTTTCTTTTTTTAAAAAAAAAGTAGATATATATTTATAATATAATATCGAATACTTGGGGTTCAATGGTAAGCTTTTCTATTATAAACCTTTGCTAAATGATTGTTTTGACGAATTTTTTCATGCATTTAGAATTCTAGTGGTGACCAACCTACCAATCGATATGCTTCTTCTTCCGTATTAGGTATAAAACATTAAATTTATTCAAAAAAATTTTTTAATTATATTGATATTATAAATCATTAATACATATATAGATTCTAGTGGCCATGTAATAGTTTATGGTGATACTCTTGGTACTAATCCCATCACAGTTACTGACAAGTTAGCAATATTAGATACAAATCAAATACTGTATAAATAGACAGTTCCAAGCAATGTGGATTATCTATTTGATAGTGAACACTGTTTTCATACTGCAACTCTAGTTGGTGAACAAATGATCATTGCATTTAGTAATTATTTTGAATTTATTGGATTTAAAAAATTTTTAAATTACTTATATTATACTTTAAATAGAAACAAGAAGAACCTTAAATGGAACAGATATTTTAGTACAAAAAATATATATTTTGAATATCTCTGATTTGTCTAACCTTAAATAGGTTACAAAATTTACTCCAATTAATTCAACTCCATCTTCAATTACTCCAATTAATTCAACTCTATCTTCAATTACTCCAATTAACCCAACTCCATCTTCAAATACACCAATTCTATCTATTCCAACAATAAATACTAATATTGGCTTAATAATTGGTGTATCTATTGGCAGAGTTCTTTCTTTAATAATAATTATTATAATCATTATTGTAACTCTAAGATATATTTGATCAGTAAATTTTCATAATAAATTTTATTAATAAAAAAAATCAAAATATTTAGTCTATTTAAATTGATTCTGAGAATTGACTAGTTATTGTTTTATACAAAAAAACCAGAACTTGAATATATGGCCTAATGTAATAAAATATGAATTAAATCATATTAATTTAAAAAATTTTTAAATTAGTAATTTATGTGGAATTCTTATTTATGATCTGAGTAGCCCATTTACTTACTTTTTTTTATATTATACTGTATATATTTTTATTATATTGTTATTATTACTTTATTTATTTACTGTAAATTACTATTATATTCAATTATATAATTGGGAATTTAAAATATATAATTATTTAAATAAAAATTATAGTTATCTGTTATTAGACTATAGTTTAAAAAAAAATAAAAATTTTATTTATTTTTCAAGGTCTTTTATATATTTAGGCTTAAAAAATTTTTATCTGAAGCATAGCAAAAGTTATTTTTTAATGCTATTTAAAACCTTTTCAGAACTGTATTATGTATATATTGTAGATAGATTCAAATTCAAAATCCACTTAAAGTAGGATTCAGATAGGTTAGAAAATTACTATATCTTTACATAATTTTAAGTTTTAGTAACTCAATATTTCATGTAATTAATTTTATATCCTTATAGCTTTATTATTTAAATATTATAATAATTAAGCTACAAAATATTCAATACACAATACTGGTATTAGGCAGTAAACTTGTAGTATATTAAATTAGTAATTAATAGGTATTAATTGATCATCCCTATTAGAGATGAGCAGAATTTTTATATATTAAATATTCTTACATATTCTTTTATATTCTTAAATTTGGTATAATAAATAAATCAATTTAAATACAAATATTATTATCATATGTTAAATAGAAAAGTTTCAATTTTAATATATATATATTTTTATAGATATTCATTGCTATGTTATAAATTATTGTTACTGCAAATATAGATGCCTTTCAAATTTAATATTTATTTTTTAAAAACACTCATTATATTTTAAATTATTGTTTAATATCATTACTGTATTATATTCTAATTTTCTTGTACAATTTTTTTGTATTAATATATATTAATAAATTTTATTAGATTTTTATTATTATTATTATAATTTGGGTGAGGAAGATGCGAAGACAGTTAAATATTATCAACTTTTTCTAGAAATAACTAGTTTTAAAAGTTGCTACATGATTATTATACATAGCTTGAATAGAAGATTTGATTATTGCTTTGTTATAAATAATTTGATCATTAGTACTGAAATTGTCAATATTTGCAATTATTTGCATTACATTTTCTTTTTCAAATTGATTCAAATTATTATCACTATTGTTCATATCATCAGATTTGACATTAGATATAATCTCTTTATTAGAATTAGTTGCATTAACTTGAACAATTTATTTATTTATTTTTTATTTTGAATAATTTGACTTAAGCAATTTTTTTTCTTGAGCAATATGCTACTGGATACATGTCAATTTTGTACATATTCATTTGCTAGTTGATAATATTGTAGTAAATGAATATTTGATATTAATAATCAGAATTTTTTACTTTTAGCTAATATAGGTAATATAGACATAACTTAAGCAGTGAAACTAGCCAAATTTGGTATTTATTTTAAAGATTATTCTAGAAGTATACAGGATTTTTAACTAGATAGTTATTCCAATTTCTATTAAAGTCAAATAGATATACTATATTAGTCTAATTGATCAACTACATTTGAAAAATTTTTGTATATTCTCATTAGAAAATAAATATTTAAATAAAAAACTAGCTTTTTTTTTAACAATAATTATAAGTTCAGGTCTAATAGCTCTTATTTGAAAATATTTTAAGTAAAGAGGCTAACAGATAATAAAAAATAAACTATATATTTTATTCTATCAATATTGTATTTATACAATTACATAATACTAAAAATTCTCATTATCAATTATATTAACAACTTCTTGTAATTGAGCTTACAAGTATATTGTATTAGCAAGTATTGTATACTATAATTCTAATATAATTAAAACTAATAAATATCAATATAATAAAGAAACACTAAAACTCTTTCCCGCAGATCACTAAACCAATTAACCGGAAAAGAAAAATTTATACAAAACAACTGTTCCTACAAGA